CCCCAAAAAAAAAAAAAACGGCCCTGTCCGGTCCGGTCCGGGTCCGTCCGGTCCGGGCGGAGGGTACCGCACGCGGCAAAGCGGACCGGACCGGACGCTCGTCCTGTCCGTCTGCTTGCAAGTATGATCCCTATCCATCCATATCCATCCATATCCATCCATCCATAATAAATAAATATGAAGTAATCAATCAGTCAATTAGTCAAACAGTTAATCAATCAAATGTCAAATCAACCCGCAGAGGAAAAGAAAACGAAGGTCTAGCGGACTCTAACCAACCTCATTAAACAAACAACCAAGTCACAAAGCAACCACGCAATCAACTGACCCAACAGTACATCAACGGGCCACACGTGTGTGTACCATCATCTAACAGATATCCAATACGATCAATCCGTTAAGAATTTTTGAGCCCATGATATCTTGATCCACAGCTACATATGTGAATCAAATCTAACAGGCATGTGAACAGGTTAAATAAATTAACCTCTGCTCAAGGAATCCCTTCCACAATCAAAACAATTGAAAATGTGCTAATTTATTAATTTCTGATGATTTCTCGGCATTTCTGATTTCTATAGATGGGCTCACTCTCCAAAAGGAACAGCTGTGGTGGGTCTGGTGACTGTGTGGTCAAATAAAAACCTTGATATAAAAAGTATTAAAAAGTTAAAAACTCGTATGGATGGTCTGTCTATTGGCGTTTCTTTTTTTTTTTTTTTTTTTTTTTTGTGGTGTCACTGGTGTGTGATAATTGTGATTCCGTTTGTTCACCTCAATGTTTTTGCCGTTGATTTGTTCATTGCTCTCTCCTCGCTTTCTTTCTCACTTGCCACTGCAATCTCCTTCTCTCTTTGCATCTCCTTCTCTCTTTGCATCTCCTTCTCTCGTTGCATCTCCTTCTCCCGCAGAAGAGTCACCAATTCCTCCGCATCCTCTGCCCGACATCTCAAGCTTCTCTCTGACTCCATGACTTTCTCAAGTCCCCCAGCCATCTCTCTTAGTTCCCCTTCCTTGCGGTCCAATTGCTCGCTCATCTCGATGCACTCCTCCTCGCGCAGCTGTAGCTCATGTTTCCATTTCTCCGAGTCGGTTCTGATCGTCAGAAGGCTAGCCTCAAGATGGGCAACGTCACGCTTTGCTGCCGTCATCTCACTTCTTGAGGTAAGAAGCTGCATCTCTAGCCGTGCAATTTCCTCCCTGTGGGAGAACAGGATAGAAACCGACACCAACAACAACAAGAACAACAACAACAACAACAACAACAAAAGAAAAACAACCAATCAGTCAGGCATACCCTTTTGAAAAAACAAGTGGGCCCGCCGCCGCTGCGCCGCCAGCACAAAGAGCAGGCCCCGCGTAGTGGCGCCCCACCCCAGGTTCCATTCAGCCCCCATACACCCCAGGATCGGAAGAAAAACAACCAATCAGTCAGGCATACCCTATTGAAAAAACAAGTGGACCCGCCGCCTCTGCGGCCGCGGCACCAAGAGCAGGCCCGGCGTAGTGGCGCCGCACCCCAGGTTCCATTCAGCCCCCATACACCCCAGGATCGGACTGGGCGGTCCCATGTGGGACAGGGCATACCGTGTGGACTGTATGGTGTAGGCGGCAATGATGCTCAGTGGGCAGGGCCCAAGACGACAGATGGCACTAAGGACCGTGTTCCACCATCCACCATATGAACATACCACGCAAACTGGGTTTGGTACAATCTGGGCCACGTGACACTTTAAGGCCTGGGAGGTACCATAGCATGTGGGGCGGATCGTAGCATGTGGGGCAGATTGTAGCGTGTGGAGCGGATCGCGCCCTGGGTGGTACAGAGCGCCCCCCCCCCCCAAAAAAAAAAAAAAAAAAAAAAAAAAAAGGCAGCTGCATGAAACTATGGGAGCCACTCCACTACTCACCAGATGTGCAAAATGAGAAGGAATTTTCTGCTAGAACATGGGAAGATACACCAGCTCACGTTTTTGTCTTCTGTGCATGTGCTGAGTAGTGGAGCGAGACCCTGTGGAAGATTTCTTCTCACTTTGCACATTTGGTGCGTAGTGGAGTGAGGCCCATTAACACATGCAAAGTCCAGATGTGAGTATGGGCCACGCTCCACTACTCTCCATATGCACAAAAGACAATCTGGCAATGTATCTTCCCATGTTCTAGTGGAGGATTCACTCTCATTTGGACATATGGAGAGCAGTGGAGCAAAGCCCTGTGCCCTGAACCTGGTCAGCTAAAAATGTGTGAGCACGGGCCTCGCTCCACTACTCCCTCTCTCCACTACTCACCACATGCACAACGACAAAACATGTGGCGGCACTTTCGATGGCCTCCTCACCAAATGATCAAGATGATAATGAATCGTCCACTACAGTATGGGAAGATATGCAGCCATCTTTTTTCTTTTTTTTGTGATTTTCAAACTTGTTGTGTGACTGACCTGCCGGTACGTGTTTTTCTTTCCGCCTATTCGGAACTACTCCTTGTTTGAGACATCATTCGCTCAGAAAAGACAAATCATTTCGCACGAGTTGAACTGTTGAACCAGTTGTCAATGTGCAGAGTATTATGTTGGCAGAGGACTCTGAGCTGTGGCAGAGGACTCTGAGCTCAGACTGGATTCAATCGGGCCCAAGAACCTGGCCCACCTAAGCGAGGTGTTCGACAATTGCTTCTCTTGCTGCTTTTCTGCTTTCCAAATATGATCCTAAGACCTGCGAGGTGAGTCCGTCTTCGCCCGGCCTACTTGTTTTTGTTTTTGTTTTTCTCCCCTACCTAGCCTTCGTTTCAGTTCGATTCTTTTCCTGTTTCTAGCTTTCTTTTTCTTTTTACCCAAAAACGCACTCCCGCCCCTTCTAGTCTGGGGGGCCAACAGTCCGGATACTCTTCACCGGCAAGCCTGAAACACACTCCCGCCCCTTCTGTTCTGGGGGGGAACAATCCGGTTACTCTTCACTGGCAGCCTGAAAAAGCAACTCATGAAGAAGGGAAGCAACTCTGCCAAGGCTCAAGACACCATGGACAGTGAGCTGTTGCTACACTGTAGAGGGTGGCAGGTGAGCTTTCACCGACTTGGCCCCCTCCTAGGCGGGAAACGTTCTGGGGGAGACCGGGCCATGATTGTCCTCCTCCGCAGCAATGTAACAATGCTCCCGCTGCCGAAAGTCTGCCGCTTTTGAGTGCAGCGGCCGCATCAATTCACCACTGCTCCCCATATCCCGCCTTAATCATACCTATCCTGTTCCGCGCTATTGTCAGGGTAGATTATTCCATCCACTCTGCGTTACAGTTTCCTCTGTTCTCCTCTTTCCGCGCTAACGTCCCAAGCTACATACCCCTCTCTGTGCCCCCGAAGCCCCCCACCGGGTGACCAGCACCCTTCCCTCACCTATCCTACGATTCCAAACTATACATGCTGCCCCTGGCCATTGGAGACAACAGCGTTTCTCCAAGGTCCCGGAGCTCCAACCAGCGTCACACCCATTTTTTTTGTTGTGTGCCGTCAGTCTCCAGTGTCCACCCTTTTCTGGCGCGCCATGGTTGTCCATCCATACCCAAGAGGTTCACACCTCCCCTTCCGCAAAGTTCTACACATTCTCCCAAAACTACTGTCTTCACCCGAATAGAACGCACAGTCATTATAGCCCTATCTGGTGCAATTTTCAGTCCAGATACAGCTATAATCACCGGGTGTTCTATTCGGGTGAAGACGGTAGCTACGCAATCTACTTTGACCAAACCTATCCCCCGTCCCTTTCTTCCATTTCCCCCGTTTCCTAATCTATCTTCCCCGGTGCGAACTGGAGTTGTCCTTCCTAATGGCCTATCCCAAAATTCTCCCATTCCTCTTTGGACTCTGTGGTCCGATGCCGGACTGTCATTCCCACTGAGCAAATTCCCAAATTAACTGGAGCCATTTATCAGGTCGAGTTCCACGAGCGCTGGGAGCGGTCTCTGCGTTCTATAAAGTCGGGAATTCCCGTGGAGAGGAGCCCGAGAGTTCAGATGCCTGCGTTGAAAGTCGGCCGCCATTGCCTGTCTGAGACTCTGAGCGCTTCACAGGCAATAGCGGCCGACTTAACACAGGGATCGCAACTCTTGGGCCCCTCCCTACGCGGTTCCCTATTTTTATAGAACGTGGCATCTGAAGTTTGCTGAACTCTCAGGCCGCTATTGCCTGCGTTAAAATTTGGTAAACCAGGTGTGGCACTGTTGCCGCCATCGCCGGTTTCTCGCCTCCCTTCACAACTGCACACCTGGTTTTCCAAATTCCCCCGCAGGCAGCGGCTCTAGTTATACCTCGCCAGCATACTGGGTGCCACCCCGATCCTACACTTTAAAAAAGTGGGAAGGATAAAAGAAAAAAACCGAAATAGTATGAGTCCCAGCAGCACACTCCATGAGGGGTATGCAACAGGTGGGAACAGAGAAGTGGCATGAAAAGAAAGGCCCGTCCAGGGCAGAAAGGCTTGGGAAAGAGTTCACATCATCCGAAGAGACAGACAGCAGGCACCCAGCCAGCCAGTCAGCCAGACACACACATACACGGAGAGAGAGAGAGAGAGAGAGAGAG